CCTCTCGGAGAGCCCGGCAAGCTACCTGTGATGTATTCAATACGCCAAAAACAGTAACAACAAAGTCTCCAATGGAGATGTTACTGGGCACGCTTGAGCAAATCGATGAACAATAGGACAGAGACAGAGAGAGAGAGAGAGAGAGAGAGAGAGAGAGAGAGAGAGAGAGAGAGACTTTTAAAATTTGAAACATTGCTGGGTTCTAATGCAATTTAGTCCCACACAAACCAAGTGCCCTACCTGCTGTACTATCTCTCTGGCCCCTACAATGACTTTTAATTGAGTATTTTTATATTCTAATCTAGTAACTTACACAAAGGAAACCCTATGTTGCTTTTACTTTATTATTTTATTACTTACCTCCAGTTGAGATTTAGGGGTTAGCTTCACACCTCTATAAAACACTCTTTACACCCACCATTAGGGTAACCCCACCACCAAAAAGACTCCACTGCTCATTCCTCCCACTCCTCCCAGCCCTTTACCCCTCTGGTAACCAAATTTCGTAAGAGTTCTGCTGTGTGTTTTTTTGTTTTGTTTTGTTTTTGGGGGGTGGGGCAGAGGGATAGTTCAGCATGTAGGGTGTTTGTCTTGCACGTGCCTACCAGGGTTCATCCCCACCTCAGATGGTCTCCTGAGGCCTGCCAGGAGGAACTCCTGAATGCACAGTCAAAAACAAAAACAAAAAACCATACAAACAAGAAAAAAAAAAAACCCAGAACCTCCAAACCAAAAAAAGTTATGCCATTTTTTTTGCCAGTTAGTTTTTTTTTATTCATATTACACATAGGTATGACGATTATAACAGCTTAAGACCACAAAGCTGGACAACTTCCGTTAAAAGAGACACTCCAGGGGCTGGAGAGATAGCACAGCGGGCAGGGCGTTTGCCTTGCACGCTGCGGACCCCGAAAATAAATAAATAAAAAATAAAAGAGACATTCCAATGCTTTCTATTTGCTACAAACTCTGCACTTTAAAAACTATCTTGGGGGCCCAAAAGACAGTTCCTCGGAGCGTATCTCTGGTGTCACATATGGTTTTCTTTACATGGTCTGGGTCACTTCAGAGCAGACAGGAACAGTCCCTGGGCAGCAAAAGTCCCAGCCCCCACCCTCAGAATAAAAACAATTCTTTGTATTGCACACTGCATCAGTTCCCACTTTCCATGGGGTCTTCAGTTATTGTATTAACCATATATAGACTTTTGGGTGAGGGGGGCAGCGCCAGAGGAGGCACTCGTACTAACATTCAGTGTTGCTGGAACGGAACCCGGAGTCTCCTCAAGCCAGGCTGACATTTCAGCCCTTTATGCTAAACTTCCCAGACTCCGAATGAGCATTTTCCTACCTGCATGTATGAGTCTCAAAAGAATAGTTTGCGACGGAAGCAAAAGCATGAAACTCTGGGTTGTTTTCTGCAAGTAAAGGTAAAAGGTAAAGGCCCTCCCGTTGATCGTCGATTTGCTCGAGCGGGCCCAGTAACGTCTCCATTGGAGACTTTGTTGTTACTGTGTCTGGCATATCGAATACTCTCGGTAGCTTGCCGGGCTATGAATGGGATTTACATATCTTGAAAACATCTGCTCAGTGCAACGGATCAATCCACACATAACTTGCCGATACCTGCTGGGTTGCATCGCGTCTGAAAAACTTCCCAAAACGTTGGCCTCTCTTTGCATCCAAGAGGCATTTTCACCTCTCACGTCACTCTGAGCCCTCTGGTAAACGAGCCTGAAACAGAGTAAACAACCAAAAAAAACCACTTCACAAGGCTGCAGCTTTTGGTCCTCTCCGTGCCTGAGGTAAAACTCGCGAGCGGTGAAGCCGCGTCTCAAGTTACGCCGTCCCCGAGACCCCGGTCTCCTCTGGACCCACAGCAACGGACACATTTTGCACTCGCGCTGTCAGCCAGGAGGAGCGACCAGCTCCAAGGCGCGTCCGCGGTGGATTCTGCGAACCTGTCGCGCGCGTGGCCAGTGGCCGCGCCGCCACTGCCGTCGCTGCCGCCCACCACCTCCTCCTGGTGCCCGTCGCGCATCTGGGGGCAGCGGCCCCCACCCGGGTCGAGGGAGGCCGAGCGAGGGAGCCGCAGGCTGCGAGACGCTTCCGCAGAGAGCAGCGACGGCACCTGAGGAAAAGCGAATCTCGCCTCCCGGGAGGAAACAGCCGCGGGGCTGCCGGGTCAGCTCCGGGGCCCGCAGGGCGGCAAGGAAGCGGCCCGGGCCGGAAGGGCGGGTCTCGGGGGTCTCCGTGCCGGGGGTCCCCGCGGAGCGCAAGACCCCCGGGAGAGGCGGGACGCGGGCTCCTCCCACCCCAGCCGCACTAACCGCCTCCGGGAGCGCAGCGCTCGTCAGGCCTCGGGAGGCGGGGAAAGGGCCGCGGCTCCGCCAGACACCAGCGACCCCCGCGGCCCGCGGCAGCCGCTCCCCGGCCAGCCCCGCCCGCTCCTTTCGGACACTCGCGCCAAAAGCCCGCTCGCCCACGTCTCGCGAGGACGCCGTGACGTCAGACGCAGCGCGCGCTCCACCCGGAAGTCCGGGCCTCGCCGCGCCTCCGCCGCCCCCCGGCGCTGTCACCGAGGCCGGGTGCTCGTGCCCCGCGCGGCTCGTCCTGGCGGCCTTCGGGAGGAGCGGGAGCGGGCGCGCTGCTTCTCGCTCCCCCGAGGATCTGCAGCCCCGAGGCCTCGGTCTCTGCAGGAAAAGCCCCTCCTCGTGTATACTCCCCGACTCGGCCCTTCTTTGGCTCATCCCGTTCCGCACGTGGCCCCGGGGTCTGCGGCGGCCCCTGAAAACGGGCCGACTTTAGACATCCCAGAGGGGATCCTTGGCCGGGGGCTAGACTGCTTCTTGCCCAGCCGGATGGTCCTTACAGAGTAGATTGGGAGTCAGAGGACGTTCCGGGCTGGCTTGCATGTTTCTCTAGCAAATTCCCAAAACCTGAGTCTTTTTCCCTGCTTGAGAAATGGTGCAGTTGTGTGACACTCTCTTCTGCCGTTTGCAGTCTCCCAGTTCATCGTTTTATCAGTTCAGCCTGAGAGATAGTCCGGAAAGCAAGGACTGTAACTTGCCTAACACTGTGCAAAATTTGCGTTTTTTCATGACCTAGAAAATTCTGCACAGGATTCAGGAGGTGAGAACTGACCACAGACCTTTGCTCCTTCCAGAATTGACCTGCTGCCCTCCTCCACCACTTTTTTCAAAAATCACTAAAAAGATAAAAACACAAAAATGAAATCTGGACTTAGAGTTAACTGTTTAAGGCATAGGTTGAAATCCAAATAAATATATCCAAGTAATCCAATATTTCGTGCATTACATAGCACCGGCGATATAGTGCCATATTCTCATCATTGCATTACCTTGTCAGTGCCACATCTCTCCCTTTATCTAGAGATAAAGTGAGAAAAGTAATTCTCGCGTCTTAGATGGGCTCATCAGTACCAGAAGGATCGGAGGGAAGGGGGCAGAGTGTTGGATCACACCTGTGGCATTCAGGGGCTCTTCCTGGCTCACAGCTCTACTTCAGGAGTGCCCCTAAGCAATGCTGGGGTAGGTGGCCATCATACTATGGTCATACAACTTGGATCAAACTCAAGTTGGGCAGGCAAGGCAAGGTCTTATCTTTGTATTATTTCTCAGACACCAAACTGTTCTTAAACTGAACAGTGGAAACAAGATAGGATTAGATAAAAATGTGAATTCCACTCTGTTCACCAGGTGTTGTTTTAGCCCCATAATCAATAATCCTTAATCTGTAGCAGGAAACCATTACAGATGGATGTCAAGTCTTATGATTATCTAGGGTCCTTTCTCCATTCTTCATTGAAAACTATCATATATAGAACATTTTTGGCTGATTCTGATTTGTGCTTTATAAGCAATAGCATGTTTAATTTTATTATAACCTTATAATTGGTTCATATTGTGAGAAATAAATTTCAATTCTACTGTATTTGATTTCATAAACTTAGGTATCTGTGATTAAATCTACTTTTACCTTCTAAGTCAATCCCCCTCCCAGACTCCTGAGGGGAGGATCCTCATAGCAGAGAACTAATGATTTGTGAAAGTAAATTAGTGAACTAATGAGAACCGTTATCATGTCATATAAAGTAAAGTAAAGGCCCTCCCGTTGATCATCGATTTGCTCGAGCGGGCCCAGGAACGTCTCCATTGGAGACTTTGTTGTTACTGTGTCTGGCATATCGAATACGTCACGGGGAGCTTGCCAGGCTCTGCCGCGAGGGCGAGACACTCTCGGTATCTTGCCGGGCTCTCCGAGAGGGGCGGAGGAATCAAACTCGGGTCGGCCATGTTGGCTGCGTGCAAGGCAAATGCCCTACCGCTGTGCTATCGCTCCAGCCCAGACACAGTAACAACAAAAGTCTCCAATGGAGACGTTACTGGGCCTGCTCGAGCAAATCGACGATCAATGGGAGGGCCTTTACCTTATCATCATGTCATATAGTTCTCTGAAATATATTGTCTTTGTATACACAACTTCCTCCCCAACAGCCCATGCATCACCTGATGTTCTTTGCTCCTGTGGTACCATTCATTTCCATTCATTAACTTTCCACAATATTCCTTCTTATTCTTCCAGTGTAACTGCCCAAATAATGTACTAGTTGTCTGTGATTGACTCTCTGTTTTACAAATCCTAGAATTGGTTAAGATCTCAAATATGAAAAGCAATGGATTGTTAAGTAAAGCTTGTGTGTGGGAATAAGAAGTGGGAAATGAAAAACAGCCTTGGAAAAGACTCAGGAACAGTGAATTTTTAAGTCCCCCGGTTAACGTGAGGAGCAAGGAGAAAGCAATTAGTGGAAGGAGACTTCAGCAAGTAGGCAGATGTGTGTCTTTCAATTAGGGTAATCAGCAGCAGCTCCCATCAGAACCTGAAATAAATAGAGAAGCTTGAAGATGGGCCTGAACCAAGCCTAGTTAGGACACGGGCTGGACTTGGATACTGCGCTGTGCTTGGGTTCCTGGTGGCCAGATGGAGCGCTTTGCCCGTGTTCCCTATGGTTTGTACCCAGGATATGGAAACCCGATGCCTTTGGGCCAGCCTGGATTCCAGCCTGACTGGAGGAAAAACATGGGTCCCCCCACTTTCCTGGCCAGAACAGGGCTTTTGGTGCCTGCGAATATCCCTCACTACTATGTGGACCCTTATAAGAGGGTGCAGTTTAGGGCTATACTCTCCCAGATGAACCCCAACCTGAACCTGCTGCTGGGCAAAGCCAACACCAAGGAGATGGGCGTGCAGGTGAGTCCTCGAGTGGACAAAGCTGTACAGTGCTCACTGGGGCCTCACAATTCACGCAGCGGCTGGAATCAGAAGACGCCCCTGCCATCCTGGAGGGCCTGTTGCCAGACCATCAGCCACAGGAGCTTATTCAAGCTGTGGAAGGATGAGGACAGCAGAGAGAAGAAGGTGCTTCCATGTCCTGCAGAAAGCAAACAGCAGCAGCCATCGGTGCCAAGGGTGGAAGAAGACCAGCAGGAGCAACTCTGGTATTGGAATAAATTGGGGGAGGAAGATGCCAAGGGGTCTCCAGAATGGAAGAGCGAGCAGCCACAAGGAGATGCCTCCCAGCGTCTTGGAAGATCCAACTTCCAGGTGAACTTCCTTTCCCTCTCCATCCTCTTGTCTCTTTTTGAGGCAATAAAAGTGAAATCTTTGCTTGCTTCTTCTCTTTGTTGAAAGGGAAGACGTCCTAAAAGATTATTTTATATGCCCTGTGTTTTGTGACTCTCCCTACTTTCCCTGTAAGATAAGATGCCAACTCTCAACCTTTAAACACCGAAAGTCTAGGTTCTTTGGTATGAAGTTTCCGTGTATGTGAAATGTGTGTTCAGGTTTTTGTATTGTGAAGACTCTGATTGTGACATGGTGGAAAATGGAGGGGAAGGATAGGAGAGACAGCAAGAGGCCCAGAGGAACCCTTGAGAGATAAGATGTTAAGTCAGCGTAGTGGCTTTGAGAATAGGTATGACCGAGCCTAAGGTGAGTTTTCAGTTTTGTCTTACTTGTATAGGCAGGAAGGAAAACAGAATCCAAGCCTCTTTCCCTTACCCGTACTCCCTCATCATGCTTAATGATGTCCCTTTCTTCCTCTCCCGCGTCCACTTGCAGTTTTTGGAACCAAAATATGGCTATTTTCACTGTAAAGATTGTAAGACCAGATGGGAGAGTGCTTATGTGTGGTGCATAGCTGGAACCAAGAAGGTAAGAACAAATGGGTGGGGCATGGGAATAGGTGTAGATGTTAAGTGGAGGGAAAATGTTTCCCAGTAGTGCATGAGCATAAGACTGTCACATTCAGCTTTGCATTCTCGGAGCCAGGCGTATCACGTGTGCTCTGGAAATGTTTGAATTTGACTGAAATAGTCGACCCACTGAGCTCCTCGGCTTCTGGACCATATCTTGGTGTCTGGTAGTCCTTTTGGACAAACTGTCAGTTTATGTCGATGAACTCTTGCATAGAAGACTTTCCATTATCACATTTTGACTGGGATCAGGTTAGGAGATTTCCAATCTGTCCACAAGGTGGAGCAAGAATTCACTGTAAACTTTAATCAGCTAGAGACTTAATTTTAAGTCTCCAGGTTAATTTGAGTTATCACTGTATTCAAATGGGAGAAGAGTTTACATTACATTTTGCATTTCCAAGTTTTCTTGAACAGGGTCATTGTACATGATCATTTGATTATCCGTCTCCTTTCACGGAGCATGGCAATTTCTTTGTATTACACCTCCAATCTAGCTCATGTTTTTTGTTTGTTTTTGGTTTTGTTTTTGGTCTTCCATGTGGTGATCAGGAGGCCCAGGGGCCCCTCCTGGATCAGTTCCTACGTGCAGGGGATCTTTAGGGCGACACCCAGCAATGTGGAATATGCGGTGCCAGGGATTGTACTAGGGTCACTGCATTGCAAGGCATGGGCCTTAACCCCCATGTATGTTAAATGAACAGCCCATAGTTCATTAACTTTTATAAGCACAAGTGCTTAAATTTGAATTCCCTGTGTCATTACCTTTTAGAAAATACTTTTCTGGCCAAAGGCAGAGGGCAAAAAACCCATGCTAAGATCTGAATGAAACCTTGACATTTAGGCTAGACCTTGGAAGCAAATAGATAAGTTTTTGTTGTTTGAGGAGAATGGGAGTTGAACCTGAAGCATCATATATGTATATACATATACACAAACGCACGCACATATCTTTATATCTATATATTTACATATAGATACATCTATATAGATATGGAATATATGTATCTATATATATAGATGTAGATATGTGCTAGCTATATTCCTGATCTATGTCAGATTTCTAAGCTATGTTTAAAAATTATTCTCCTTTTTTGTCATAAAGAAAAAGCCCAGTGGGTTTAATCTAAGACACTGGGATATGAAGAACAACACACAAAACTCATCCTCAAGAAATATATTCTGACAGAAGTGACATAGAGGAAATGAAATTCAGTGGTAGATTCAGTGACACCTATGGGATGGAAGTGATGCAAAAATAACAAAATGACACAGGAAGAAAAATAATCCAAGCAAGATTTTATCTTTTTTTTAAAATGGTTTTTGGGGGGCTTTTGAGTCACACACAGCAATGTTCAGGGATCACTCCTGATGAACTTGGGGGACCATATAGGGTGCTTGGGATTGAATATGTGAAGTGTCAGGGATTGAATCCAGGTTGGCCGTGTGCAAGGCAAGCACCCTACCCCCTGTACTGTCACTCTTCCCTCAGGATTTTAAAGGATCAATAGGAAGAGGGGTTCATCAAGTAAGGCAGAGAGAAAATGTGTAGAGAATGATGCACAAGTCCTAGAAACCATGTGAATAATTGGTGGTTAATGATAAATTTAAGTTCAAGGAGGTAGGGGCTATTGAAAATTGAAAATGTAGGGGCTAATTTAACCTTTAGTCTGGGACTAAAGGTCAAGGGTCTACCTGGTGCAATGAATAAAATTGACAATTACTGCCCATTGAAGAATTTACTATGAACTCTGTAATTATTGGGCAATTTCTCAGAACTATAAAAAAATTTTTACAGGTGAGGCGCATGAAGTCCAAGAGTAAGAAAAGTAATCGATAGACCAGAGCTGAGGATAGAGAGTGGGTAAGAACACTGGGTTAAAGAGTGAGTTAAAGGTCAGGGAATGGATTCCTTGGATTAGGAACTGGGAGCCTTGAGTACATATCAACCTGCATTAAAAGAAGACAAATTTCTCTTTAGGTTTATTTCAAACAACTCTGTTGCAAATGCCGGAAGAGTTTTAACCCTTACCGAGTAGAAGCAATCCAATGTCAGGTAAGCAGATAAAACACTTATCTTTTGTATCTGCAGTGTTTACATTTTGGCAGGATAGGGGCTGGAGGTGGTCCTGAGAATTTCTGACCCTAAGAATGGAGGATAATGGGCAGCTAACCATACCGGTCACCTTGGAGCCTTTTTTGGCTTTTAAACAGATCTGAATCCTTTTTACATTCTGGTGACTACTCGACTGATGGGACTTTGCTAATTCCAAATGCAATACTTATTTAGGTTCAGAAGATCCAGGCCCGCCCACTGTCAGCAATACTTGCCCAAACACGCCAGGCAGCTGACAACTAGTGGTTCTCAGCAGGCCAGATATGGAACTTGGGGCCTCAAGCATGTAAGACATGTGCTCCAGCCCTTTGAGCTATCTCCTTAACCCCATTAGTTGCATCGTTTATTTTGGGGTCATATCTGGCTGTGCTCAGGGCTTATTCCTGGCTCTGTGCTCAAGGAATGTACCTGGCGGTTCTCAGGGGACCATATGTGGTTCTGGGAAATTAAACCAAGGCTGGAGTCAGGGTAATAGTACAGCAGGTCCAGAGAGCTTGCCTTGCATGTGCCAACTCGGGTTCAACACCCAGATCCTATATGATCCCCTGAGCCCTCTGGGTTTGATTCCTGACTGCAGAGCCAGTAGGAACTCCTGAGCACTGCTGGTGTAGCTCCTCAAGTGCCCCCTCCCCCACCAAAAAAGAAATTGAACCAGGGTTAGCCATATGTCAGGCAAACTTCAAAACCCCCACCTTTCTCTACCCTAGTCTTTTCATTCTTTTAAAAATTATTTCCTTTGTTTGTTTGATGTTTATTTTGGGGCCACAATTAAGAGATGCTCTGGCATTACTCCTGGCTCTGCACTCAGGTATCACTCCCAGCAGTGCTAGGCGGACTATCTGGGTTGCTGGGGATCAAACCTGGGTCAGCCATGCAAGCACAAGGGTCAGCAAACCTGGGTCAGCAAGGCAAGCACAAGGACCCCCTTCGCATTCCATGCTCTGGAGATCAAGTTGTACTGGGGATTACATTTAGGACCTTATGAATGCAGGTCACGTGCTTCAACCCTTCAAGCTATCTCTCTGGTGTTCTCTTTGGCCATTCTTAAACTTGTTTGCGCCTAATGTATTTGTTTTTATTTCCAGCAGTGTTATATGTCTAGTAATGATTTCTTTGTATGTATTCTGCTGGAGATTCATAGTATTTTCTGAAATTGTAGGTAGAGAATTTTATTGCTTTTGGAAAATTGTCAGCCTAGCATTGTGTAAGTACACGGGGTAAATATTTTTGAAAGTCTCATCTTGGGAAAGTGGCACTGGCAAGGTTCTTTAATGGAGTGAAATGGTTTGTTTTTTAATTTTTAAACTTGTTTTTCTGTCTTTTTTGAGTCACACCAGAAATACTCAGATTGCTCCTGGTGATGCTCTGGGACCCTGTTAAACCTGATGCAAGACAAATGTCCTACCTGCTATCTTATCTCTTTGGCTCCTATTGGAAACAGTTTAAATGAACTTTACTGTGTATAGAAATATGTTTGAAACGATGGAAGGAGCCCCTTGAATCAAATGTTTGACAACTGTTGGGAATAAGGGTCAGCTCCCCAAGCTCCCTACATCCCAGCAGGCCGTTCCATTTACCTGTGATTACTCACAAGGTTGGTCACGTTCTTGGATCCCACCCATCAGTTCAACAATATCAGAGAAAGAATAAGTATTGCATTTGGAATTAGCAAGTCCCATCAGTCTAGTAGTCACCAGAATGTAAAAAGGATTCAGATCTGTTTAAAGGCCAAAAAAGGCTCCAAGGTGACTGGTATGGTTAGCTGCCCATTATCCTCCATTCTTAGGGTCAGAATATACTCTAGGTTTTAATATAAACATACAGGTACATAAATATAAAATATTTAAATTTGGTATATATGTAACTTATATATTTATGTATTATGTATAACAATAAAAAATACGTCATATATATTCAGACAGTAGGCAACAAATCATGAAGGGAAATATATATATATATATAGACCTCGAAGAGCCTGGCAAGCTACCAAGGGTATCCTGTTTGCACAGCAGAGCCTGGCAAGCTCCCCGTTGCGTATTCTTCATTCCTCTGACCCTGAAAGAGCCTCCAATATGGCAGCATTGGGAAAGACGAGTAAGGAGAGGCTGCTAATATCTCAGGACTGGGATGAATGGACACGTTACTGGCGCTCACTCAAGTAAATTGATGAACAATGGGATGACAGTGATACAGTGACAGTGAATCTCTTTTGTCATTCTGTCTTCTGTCATTCTGTCAGAATTCTCAGCGTGTATACCCTTTTATGCTTTCTTCTATATTTCCTATGCCTAAGTCTCTCCTTGTTTCACTCTGAGTATCCCCTACTGAACAATTAAAGTAGTTTAAGCTGCTAACTTTAGTAGTCAAACTACCTTTTCTCTAATTTCTCTCTAAGCTCCAACTCATCTACTATTAAAGCTATGCATTGAGTTACTGGTCACATTACAGAATTTTTCAGTAATGGATTTTTTTCTTTTTAAAGATAAGACTCTTTAGAAAAATATTTGCCCTCGAGCATATGAAGTATGTTTTTTAAAATACTGTATCAGTTAAGTTCCCTGTGGAACTGTCGCTTCCCTTTATTTATTTATTTTTTTGGTTTTCAAGTATGGCTCTCTCTATAAATGTGGTGTTTCTTCACATAGTTGTTTACTTTTGGTGGAGTACTAGATAATTACAGATGAAAAATTTTGGAGATTGTTTGATCCCTAGGACTAATATCTGCTTTTACAGAAGACCTTTTTTTCTAGTAGGGGATGGGGACACTAGCAGTTTCAGAACATTATTTTCCAGTCAGGGTTAAACTGTTTTTGAAGTTGATCTTTGGCATCTGTGAAGTTTGATCTGCTGTGGTTCATCCTTATTCTTTGGGTGTAGGTTTTCAGGATTCCAACACAAACCAGAAGTATTAATCAGGGCTCTTCCATTGTGGTATATATAAGATTAAAGATAGCTTCATCAGCTAATCTAAACAAATTTTCCCCAGTTTCCTACATCTTCCTCGAATAGGCAGATACCTTTCAAAGAGAAAATACTCACAAATATCACACTCCCTTGTATTTTTATATTTGATTCCAAATGCTTTGATAATCCTATAGTGTTTTCAAAGTTATTTTTTGGGGGGAGGGGGGGCAGTGGGACCTTGCCCAGTGTGTTTCAGAGATCACTCCTGACTGTTGTTGGGAGACAATGAAGTGACAATGCAATTCCTTCAAATTATCTTTTTTATTTCCATGTTCTAGTATCTTAAATAGACATTTGTAAAGAATAGATCAAAACTCATCCTTACTTTGGACAAACTGACAGGCTACCGAATGTAACCTGCCCACACGGCAGAGTCTGGCAAACTCCCCGTGGCGTACCCAATATGCCAAATACCAGTAACAATGATGGGTCTCATTCTCCTAACCCTGAAAGAGCCTTGAATAAGGCACATTTTAAAAAATCTCAGGGCTAGGACGAAGTAGACGTTACTGGGGCCTGCTCGAGGCAATTGACAAACAACAGGAAGGTCATGATCATCCTGTTCTAGTATCTTAAATAGACATTTGTAAAGAATAGATCAAAACTATATCCCTCATTATTGTTAGAAACTAAAAGCTATCTTTAAAGCAGATTATGATTTTTATTAAGACTTCTCTGAGTATTAAGGCATTATCAGATTAAATAAATTAATATTTATAAGATGATTATAATAGCAATATCATGGGCTGGAGCAATAGCACAGCGGGTAGGGCATTTGTCTTGCATGCAACCAACATGGTCGACCTAAGTTCGATTCCTCTGGCCCTCTTGGAGTGCCTGGCAAGCTATTGAGAGTATCTCGCCCACACAGCAAAGCCTGGAAAGCTACCTGTGATATATTAGATATGCCAAACACAGTAACAAGTCTCACAATGTTACTGGGCCTGCTTGAGCAAATCGATGAACAACGGGAGGACAGTGACAGTGACAGTGAAAGCTATATCAAACAGCATGTGACTCTTAGCTATTAGGCTTTTCTTACAATGACCAATGGGAGAAGATATAAATATAGAACAATATTTGGTAAATTATATTTTAGGCTCTCATTTGGAATGTGAAAGTGTTACTTTCATACAGACCAATCCTTCCCCCACCAAAGACCCCAATAATTAAAAATGATAGTAGATTGGGCCTTTCCAATGAGAAGACATAATTTCCTCGGACTTTGATCACTCTACTTATAACAGCCATCAAAACCTCCCTTGTCAATTCCAGCTGGTGGGTAAAATACTTCTGCTTGAGATCTACTGCTCTAGTATTTTTTTTATATATTCCAACCTCAATGATGAAACTATTTAATACTCACCAATTGTCTCTTGCTTCCCACCTGGCTGCAGAAATGCAAAAACTTAATTGACTTTTCTATTGTCTTAATTGACTCAGTAATAATCTCTTGAAAAATTATATTTTTGTTTTGTTTTTGGACCACACCAGGAAGTGCTCAGGGCTTATTCCTGGCTCTGCACTCAGGGATCACTCCTGATGGCGACAGAGATAAAACCCCAGTTGGCCATGTTCGAGGAAAACACTTTACCCATTGTGCAATCACACTGCCTCCCCCCTAAATTATCTTTGATCATTCATTTTGAAAAATTATGGCATTGAATGAACTACTCAGAGAGTGTCTGTCTTACGTAGGCTGCAGGGTGGGCAGTGGGAGGTGAAAGGGAAATTGGGGAATTGGTGGCAGCAAATGTACACTGTGAAGATATGGGTGCTGGAACTATGTATGACTGAAACCCAATCAGGAACAACGTTGTAGTTGTCTATCTCACAGTGATTCCATTAAAAAACTTAAATCGTTTTTAAAAAGAAATAAAATCTTCAAAATGTTTCCAAATTAAAAAATACAAAACAAAACACAACAGTTTGTATGGTTGTGTGTGTGTGTGTGTTTTTTATTTTTAAAGAAGAATAAATATAGTGTTCTAGAATTTAAAGGACAGTAAGTGTCAGAGATACTGTAGTTAGTGTGGAGAAATATTTTAATTTGAGCCTTTTATTTAAAAACGAATTTGATTATTTCATGCGTAAACTGGTTATTTTCTTGTTTCTCTTAGACTTGTTTAAAGTCTTTTTGTTCCTGTTCTAAAAAAAAAAGATACATAGATCTGAGGAGGCCTCATCGACAGGATCTGTGTGGTCGCTGCAAAGACAAGAAATTCTCCTGCGGCAATTTTTTCAACTATAAGTATGGCATATGACAGGCAATTGGACTTGTACCTGAACTCTTGCCCTTGTGAGCAAGATGGGGCAGGGGGGTGGGGAGGTGACATTTTGATTGCATTTCCTGTGGGGAGGAGTGGTTTGGGAGGCATGGTGAGAGAGAAGAAAGAGAGCAGCTGGGGAGAGGATGGGAAGGGAGAGTAAGACAAGACAGAGATAAAGGAGATGGATGCAATGGGAAGAAAAAAATTGCGAAGAAAACTTTGCCAGAATAACTGTTTCAATGTCCACTCTGTATCCCTGTTTCTATCTCCAGCCTTAGCCGTATCTATATTTATATCATTGTATTTATGGCTGTCAGAGTGTTATATATTTATTCTTCAGTATATCCATATTTTCTAGAGAAAAGCAATTGTATGAAAACTTCCGTATTTTCTTAAACTCACTTTTAAGTGTTTTGAAATGCCCTTGACTGTCAGAATATATGCTCATCAGTGTATATATATATATATATAAAGATAGCAACCCTCCAATAGTTACAGTTTATTTCCTAGAGAAAACATGAGCTCACACTTAATGCCAGTTTCTTAGGTCCTTTAACAATGACTCACCAAATTGACTTTTGTTTCTTTATTTTTTGCTTGAATGTTTGGAATTAAACATCTCTCCATTGTTTGAAGATTCAGATGTATAGATTTATGATTTTATGTTCCTGTGTTCAGATGTATAACTTTATGCTTTTATGTTTCTTTGTAGTCTGCATTATGACAATCACCTGAAGTCTGAGTCTTATACCCACTATACAAATGATTCCCATGACCCATTTTATATCCCCTAATTCTATTTTCCTCTAATAGCTACAATTCTATTATCAGAATCTAAGTGCTTATTGCTTTATACAAAAGCAAGTTGAATTTTCTGAAATCTATTACATGTCTTTATTTTGTACCTGTTCACCTATTCTTTATCTCAATTCCTCAATACAAGAAATATTTTTAAACTCCCGTTATTATGTGATTTTTGCTAACTAAGTGTTTTCTCTCTCCCATTTCTAAATTTGTGAATTCTATGCATTCTTTTTGTTTGGCTCATGGTAAAATCTTTCCAGATAACTATTAAAGTATTTTCCGCATAAAAAAAAGAATTGCGGGGTTACAGAGAGACAGAGGGACGGTGACAGAGGGACAAGTAGATTGGAGAGGAGTCATGGAGAGCATTGTAGAGTGAGTTAGAGAGAGGTCTGGGCAGAACTGGGAGAGACAAGAGATTGAATAAACTGCATCTAATCAGCAACCAGCTTGACCCTTGTTCTTCCTTCGACCTTTCAAGGCAACAAGTCGTTCCAGGTGGAGATGTAGCTAAAGAGCACCGAATGCGGGTGGCAAGAGAGCCGGAGGACATCCTTTCATGTGTAATCCCTTTGCAAAGGAGTTTACACAGCTCCACACGCATGAGGGGCTTATACAACCTCCCTCCCTCCCCCCTGCTCCTCTCTTCCCCCCCCCCCCCCCCAGTCCCCAGTGCTCAGGAAATTACTCCTAGCTCTGCACTCTGGGATCACTCCTGACAGTGCTATAAAGCCCATATGAGATTCTGAGGACTGAACAGAGGTTGGCAGCATGCAAGGCAAGCACCTACCTACTGTGCAATGGCTCCAGCCCCATCTCTTCTAAAAACATGGAGAGCTGAGGCCAGGGATATTGCTCGGTAGTACAGCTTATGCCTTGCATGCAGGAGGCTCTCAGTTTGAGCATGATACATCAACTCCCCAACCCCTCCTGCCTCTTATAGAAACCAAAAAGAGAAGAGGAAATGCAGAGATAGAAGATGAGTTGCCAGGCAGACAGACTAGGACATAGTCTGCAGATTTAGTTATTTATATTTTCTCTCAAATTCAGATGTAATAAATGCTAAGAAGAAAGTGGTGCTATGATAACACTTTTTGATGAGGTGGTTGAGAAGAGGTTACATGGAAATTGGACTTGCATGCTGAGGGGGGAACACTGAGTTTGGTAGGTATGTCCCAGGAATATGAAGCCATGATGCTAACATGTGGCAGGGAATTAAGAAGACAGCCCAGATCACAAAGGCCTCTTGGTATAGCCAAGAACATGGCAGCTCATGAAGAAGAGTTTCAACATCAGAGCCTTACTTAAAAAAATTATTAGAGGCAATACTAAAAAGAACAGGAGGAAGAATGATAAAGTTAATGGACAAATAAGCCGAAGGATGACTTGAACAATGGTGGTGACCATGAAGATGGAGAGAATTACATGGATTCAAGGTCATGTTTGGGAATCAAAGGAGGCATAAGGCTGAAGTGGGCGATGGGGAAGTAGATAATTGTTTATTTTTTGTTTTTTGGGCCAAACCCAGCTATGCTCAGGGCTTACTCCTAGCTCTGCAGTCAGGAATTACTATGGGTGGTGCTCAGGACACCATGTGTAATTCAGGAGATAGAGTCCAGGTTGCCACATGCAACCTGGCTTTTTTGGCAGCATGCAAGGCAAGCACTGTACTATCTACAGTGGGTGTAGCCCTAACCACTGTACTATCTCTCCAGCCCCAACAATGATTTTTAGATTATACTTTGAGCTGTAGATTGATCAAATGCTCTAGAATGAGATAACCTAACTTCAGTGCCTGGGTATGGTACTTATGAGATGTATGATTGTGGGCAAGTTACCTGTACTGTTTTTATTGCTCATCTGTAAAATGGGATAATATAGTACCTGTCTCTCAGTGGTGTGAAGTAAGATACTCATTATATATAATAAGAACACCAAACTAAATCCCATCAAAACAAAACCAATTACATTTACCGAACCTTCTCATAGGTCTCTGACCCTAATTATGTAAAAGAACACCAAACTGAATCACAGCAATATCTGAGTGAATTTTGTTTCCAATACTTCAATATTGAAATGTGAGCCTTCCAAATGGAGAGGTTATGAAGACTACTGGATATATGAATCTTGAATTGAGGATATCTGGGACTCAGAAGAAAGATTTGAAGAGAAAAAAGGTTGATGACAGTCCTGCTTCACTAGGATCATCTAGGAGGGAGGATATTATAGAACATGGCCAGGGGTGTACCAATACTTGTAGCAATGATTATCAAACTTCAATGTTCCAGGTTTTATCTGGTGATTTTGGTTCTTATCCAGGAGCCCTGTGGTCTGGGACTTTGCAAATCTCACAAGCTCTCAGACATTATTAATGTTGCTGGTAACTTGATCACACTGGTTAACAATAAGTAAGAAGGTAGATAAAAGAGGAAGTCTAATGGCATCTCTGGCATTGCATATGGTTCTCCTTCACCACCTCCACAGGGTGTCTGGCCCTATGCGTAGCAATCCAGGAGTGATCGCTAAGTAGGGAGCCAGGAATAAATGCTGAGCACTGTTGGGTATGCCCTTCAACCCTTGTGGCCCCCTCAATTCTTTCCCAAAAAAGAGGTCAAGAGGAATGAATAGGGGGAAATGGTTTTATGAAAACAAAGATAGGTCGATATTCTGAGATAGAATGATTCATTGGGTCATATTCTGTTGTGAGTAAGAAAGATGATTGTCCATTGGATTTAGTGACACAAAGGTGACCTTAAAAAGAAATTTTAGTGGAACTGAGGTTATAGAGGGCAGAGAATAGAGAATACTTTTCAGAAAATTTTTGCTTTTTAGAAGCAGAAAAAAGTGATAGCTATAAGGGAATTTGGGTAAAAGAGGTACTGAATAATTTTGTATGATAGGACTTATTCAGTAGAGATTTTAATGGCACAGCAAAGGAAGGAGATGTTTGCAAGAGAAGGCTTTGTAAAGGGAAAGTTATTAGCTGAGGTAAATAGAAAGGAAAAGAGATAGGAAGATCGTTATCTTCCTGGAATTTGACATTTTCAGGAAGTAAAATTTTACTGTATAGTTTATTTATACTGATAGTTTATTTCAAGATCTGGTGCATGTGAGACAGGCAGAGTTGCAATTGTGTTCTTTGTTGGCAATTCTGGAAAGAGTGGATCGTATTTTAACCAGTTAGGATGGGACTGAGATATCTATAATCCATGAAATTTAAATTTGTTAAGATGAAGACTGAAGATAGATGACAGGCAGTAGTAAGAACACCAACACTTACAGATGGTTCTTCATGATAGAAGAAGACTAATCAGGAAGGGTGGGCTGGGAGAATTGCAAAACTCCCAAGTGGGATGGAGAAGTTTGTGACTGTAGCCAGTGCACTTATCAGTTTTGATGGGTCTTAGTACAGCCGTGAAATTGGTAAGTGGCCACAGAGGAGCAGAGAAGAGCCAAGACATCTCTGGCAGTGAAAAGTTAAAAATACTAAGAAAAAGTTTCTGTGTCAGTTATCCAAAGGATTTTGCATTTCCTGGAAATGTCAGAGTAGTTGAAGTCACTAGAGGTCACTCTTGAGCACAGAGCCAAGAATTGCCCCTGGGGCAAAAAAGCACATGAGAAAATGCTCTACATCATTAATCATCAGGGAGATGCAGATCAAAACCACAATGAGATACCATCTCACACCTCAGAGACTGGCCCACATTCAAAAGAGCAAAAGCAACCTATGCTGGCGTGGATGCGGCGAGAAAGGGACACTCCTTCACTGTTGGTGGGAATGTCGACTGGTTCAGCCCTTCTGGAAAACAGTATGGACGATTCTCAAAAAATTAGAAATTGAGCTCCCATTTGACCCAGCAATACCACTCCTGGGAATATATCCCAGAGAGGCAAAAATGTATAGTCGAAGTGACGTATGCACTTGTTTGTTCATTGCAGCTCTCTTTACAATAGCCAGAAACTGGAAGAAACCTGAATGCCCAAGAACAGATGACTGGTTAAAGAAACTTTGGTACATCTACACAATGGAGTACTATGTAGCTGTTAGAAAAGATGAAGTCATGAAATTTACATACAAGTGGTACAATATGGAAAGTATCATGCTAAGCGAAATGAGTCAGAAAGAGAGGGATAGACATAGAAAGATTGCATTCATCTGGGGGATATAAAGTAACAAAGAATGAGATTAA